AGAACCAATATATCTTTAAAAAAAAAAAAACTAACATAGTCAAATCAAAACAGAAGCCAGTTATCTCCCATTTAGGAAGCTAGTACTCAAGATCAAATGCAGGCATAAATTTATACAAATTTTGAACAAAATAAGCATTTTATTAAGTATTTACTTTAATGCAAATGGTACAAGCAAAGATAGTTGCTTCCATCTGTGGGGAAATGTGAACATATATCTGTAGGAAAGATTCCTAGGAGTAGAATTGTTGGGTCAAAGGTTTCTATATTTTAAGTTTTTCTTTCTCCCTGGTGAATGCTCATGCCCTTGTTGGGGGAATACAAATTAAGTTTTTATTCTAATTAAGCTTACAGTGTATTGGGGAGAGAAATACTAACAAAAATCAAGTAAACTTATAATAGCAGGTGGTGATGAGGTAAGAGACAGGGACCTGAAGAATATAGTCAGGGTATAGGCCCAAAATGGGATCACAGAATGGCTAAGATTCAAGATGGAGACACAGCTGTTTAGCAGAGCTCAGCTCTCACTGAACTGCTGGCTCACAAGAAACAGCTCATTGCAGTGACTTCCTGATCGGCCTGAAGCAAATAGAGCAATTAAGGCTTTCTCCAGGTCCCACCAGTTCCAGGAAGAACATAATGGTCTTTTATGGCCCACAGCTTTTAGAGGAAGAGTCTCCTAACCTTTGTATCCGTGCCAAAATTAGGAGAAGAATAATTGGGCCCATTTAGCATGTAACCCCACTGCAAGGGGATTGCATGCACCAGCACCTTCTGAGAACAAATCCAAGCAAAGCCCCTGGTGACCAAGATAGAAACCCTCACCTCAGTTCCTCTTCGGCAGCCCACTTTCTGGGACCCTTCCCTGCCTGAGAGCTGTTCTTTCCTTCAGTAAACTCTTTGCTATTCCCTCTCTGTGTCTGCAACTCCAATTCTTCATGAGTGTGAGAGAAAGCATCAGGTTCGCTGCTGTTCCTGCATTGGATGTTGGGCCCTGCACCCCAGCTTCCCACGTCAGTGATTAGTGCCATGAAGGAAAGCACAGCAAGTAGAGAGGATGATGAGGGAGGCCTGCCTTAGGGGACCAGGGCTCACAGGTGGCCTGTGAGCTGAGAATTGAGCAGATTATGTTCTTGTGGTATACTACTGGGTTCAGTTTGCTCATTTGTTAAGAGTTTAATGTGTCTGTTTCTAAGAGAGTGGCTATTGCTGGGTTGTAGGAAATCTGTTTTTTGTTTTGTTTTGTTTTGTTTTTTTTGTTAGTGTTTTAGCTAGCCATTTAAAAAAAGATTCATTCTTCCCCCCCTTCTCCCAGAGGTTTTTGCTATAGGGCATGTGTGCTTGCCAGAAAGACAGAGAGAGACAGAAGGCAAGAAATCACCCCCTGGGGGGGATGGCCACACCACAATCCCTTCTCCTTCATTCTCCTCTCGGCATCTTGGGCACGCACGTACATGCCCGCCGTGAGTGTAAGCCACTGGGTCTGGGACTCGAACCGTGGTCAACTACATGAGAGTCCAGCAACATAGCCATTATGCTAACTGCTGGTCCCAATTCATTCTTTTTTAAGTTTCATTTTGTACATTCAATCACTGTACATCACCTAGCTTGTAAAGTGCATTTACACTTCACACCAGTCCAGTTGAGGATACTGTACACATTATCAACAGAGAATAATCCTGATTGGTTATCACAGTTATGTTCTTCTTGTAGATTCAGTTGAGAAGTTTCCCATCTCTGTCTGGGCCCTTGAGCACTTGAAATCACATACGAATGATCTGTTCCTTGAGTGAGCTCCACTTGCTCACATGAGGATAGTCCTTTCCCAGCCCCTTGAATCCCGAACAGGACATCCACCTTCCCATTCACTCCCAAGGACGTCCTGGGACGTACCCTCTCCCCAGCAGTCCTTGAGGTAGGAGGCGGAATCCCTGGCAGAGAGGAGGAGCCTTCTTTGCTTTTGGTCCCAGTAGACTCCAAGGGAGGTTTAGCTCTGGGTGCTTGCCCTGGAGAAGCTACTGGGCAAGAGTCAGGATGGGGGTGCAGGCTGCAGACTCCTAAGAAACAGTCACTTGCTATTGCGGGTTTAATTCTCTCATTTTTTTTGGAGAGGTTTTCACTATAGGGCGCGTGCGCTCGCCAGACAGACAAAAAGAGACATAGAGATAGAAAGCGAGAAATCACCCCTCAGGGGGGATGGTCACACCGCAATCCCTTCTCCTCCATTCTCCTCTCAGAATCTTGGGCACTCACGCACATGCGCCCGGTGTGAGTTTTAAGCCACTGGATCCGGGATGCAAACTGTGTTCGACTACGTGGGAGTCCAGTGACATAGCCATTACGCTAACTGCTGGTTCCCCGGGTTTAATTCTCTTTGTAAAGTATGTGTTCTAGGCTTTTTGGAGAAGTGGAGTGACGGGGGAGGGGGGGTGTGTGCTCAGTGCTCAGTTCACCGTCTTGATTGTGAGGTCAAAGTTTGCTGAAAGGAATTTGTCCCAGTACTAACAGGAGGCCCTGTGTTTTGCAAACTGTTTACTTACTTACTTTTCATTTGTGATGTTTTGTGTGTGTACACTAGAAAGAGAGAGTGAGAGAAGCACCTTCGACAGGGTCTGCTCATGCTGTCATCCCCGTCCTCCAGACTGTGGACACGTGCCTGGAGCATTTCAAGTTGACCCAGCTGGCGATCAGAACCATAGTCAGCATCTTTCGGGTCGTCAGGAAAGTCATGATGTGTTCTCCTATGCAAATAGGTCACGACTTTCCTGACAACTCGGTAGCTTCTAGCACTGCAGCCTAGAATGCTGTGGACAGGACTAGGCTGGGCCACACGTGATTTAAAAAAAGTAATAAAATTTATTAGCAAAGAGCCATTGGTAGTCTTAGATAAAAATAATGTTTACTCTTGTTTTACTATCTTGAGAGAGAGGGAGGACAGTGATATTTTGGGAATTGTACATGGTGCTCATAGTGAACGTGAAAGTAACCTGTGACTTGAAAACTGTTAATAGTGGTTAATAACTTAGTTGTAATAGTGAAATTGTTAGAGATATTCATAAATGTCTGCTTTTAGGGAGGTCTCTACATTATACCCGTACTCAATTTGTGCTCTATAGAAATACAAGAATTCAATTTCTGCGTATTAAATTTCAGAATCTTGACAAAACTTCTGGAGGTGTCCGATGACCCACAAGTCTTAGCAGTCGCTGCTCATGACGTTGGAGAATATGTGCGGCATTACCCACGAGGCAAGCGGTAAGGGAAAACCACAAATTTCACTTGAGTTTCTTGAAACCTTCAACACAGAATCCTAAATAATACATTGACGTAAAATAGAGTAGTTTAGCAGAAGAAGTAATGGCGTAAATGAAGGCAAGATTGTCATAATGTGGGAATTATTAGCAAAGTTAAAACTGAGTAGCATAAAAATGTAAGTATACTGGCGACCAGCAGGTGGCATTGTGGCTAAGGTGCTGGATACTCCTACATAGCTGACCATGGTTTGAGTCCCGAACCTGGCAGCTTGCCTTTCTCAGTTTCTCTCTCTCTCTGTGTCTGGTCAAATTAAAATAAATGAATGAATAAAATTAAATAAAAAAATGTGAGTGTACTTCCATGATACTACTGTGTAGTCGTCAGCAGAGGTCACAATTGAAATTTCATGGGGAAGAGTTTTTGGGAAAGGTTTTTGGTGCACGCGCTGGACAGAGAGACAGAGACAGAAAGTGAGAAATCACCCCCCAGGGGGGATGGCCACGCCACAATCCCTTCTCCTCCATTCTCCTCTCAGGATCTTGGGCACGCACGCACATGCACCCGACGTGAGTTTAAGCCACCAGGTCCAGGACTTGAACCGCGGTCAACTACATGGAAGTTCAGCGACATAGCCATTATGCTAACTGCTGGTCCCGAGTTTCTTTGTTTTGTATGATTTAATTCAATAGCCACTTTTCCAGCACTGGTTGTTTTTTGACTACTATTCGTAGTTATAGAGGGGAAATAGACATTGTTATTGACATCAGTATGTTCCAAGTATTAAAAGAAATATAAAAAGTTAACTGCGGATGTGAAGAATAGAATTATTAGAATAGAATTTATGTCAAAACACAGAAGTATGGGAGGAGACAGTTTCTTTGTTAAAGGAGTCTAGCATTATCTAAACTACCCTGCTGTGTTTGGGGAATTCACCACCTTATGAGGCCTGTGATCCCTCCCACTGAACATAAAAGTGCCAGCTGGGGGGACCAGCAGTTGGCATAATGGCTATGTCGCTGGATTCTCATGTTGTCTACTGTGGTTCTAGTCCTGGACTGGGTAGCTTAAACTCATGCCAGGTGTGTGTGTGTGCATGCCCAAGATCCTGAGTGGAGAATGGAGGAGAAGGGATTGCAGTATAGCCATCCTTCCTGGGGGGTGATTATTTACTTTCTGTCTCTCTCTCTCTCTCTGTCTTTCTGGCGAGCGCATGCACCCTATAGCAAAACCTCTCCAAAAAAGCAAAAAAAAGTCCCAGCTGGGGCCAGATCGTTTAACTGCTTGATCAGCAATAAAACCGATGCTCTGTGGGCAATCCCAGTCCAGGTCCAGGATTTCCCTGGGGAATGCCAACACTTGCTTGCCAATAGTTGGGGCCTGGTTGATGCTGGCGGGTAGATCATGTATTGGAACCCTGTTGAGTGTGCTGTCTCTGTCTCTCTATCTCTCATGCACAAAATAAATAAATTTTAAAATGCCAACAGTTCACTTTCCTAGGTTCTTTTACATTTAGCCCATGGCCTAAACTCAGTGAATCAGTCCCCGCCCCAGACATCCGACAGGAATGAGAGACAGAGGTAAGCGGAGGCAGGCTTCTTGAGGAGAGCTAGAAGCCTCAGGGTCTGGGCAGGAGCGGAGTAGGCAGTGCGTGGTCAGGCGTCTAACCATACAGTACCCACGCTGGACTGCCTTATATGCTTGAGCTGCACCGGGGTCAGCCTGGGCAGCCTGTGCGGGTGGCTCTTCGCCTTCCAGTAAATTCCTTCACTGTCTTATCAGGCAGAGTCGAGGCTCTGCTGCTACCAACTAAAATTACTGGCGGATACAAAAGAGTCTTCTCTCTTTAATTTGTCAGATTGCCACGCTGCCTTTGAAACAAAGCACACGTGTCCAATGTTCTGTGTGGTGGTGCTTCACAGGTTCACGGAGAGTGTGTATTACGGAACTCTGCATAGATTTCTTTTTTTTTTTCTGTACCAAAATAAGCTCATACTTTAATTCCCATTTTCTGTGAACTTCTTGAAGTCTGCTCATGTATCTCTCTCTCTCTTTTAATAATTATTTTATTTAACTTTATTTATTTATTTTAATTTGATCAGAGAGGCGAGCTGCCAGGTCTGGGACTTGAACCACAGTCAGCCATGTGGGAGTCCAGTGCCCTTAACCACTATGCCATCTGCTGGCCCCAATATCTCCCTTTTTTTTTTTTTTAAACGTTTCCTATTTTGTGCTATGATAACCTGATCATGTCTGTTTTTGCCTCTCTACTGTGAACTTCTTAAAAAGAGCAGCTACATCTGGCTTGGCCTAGTGTCCCCACAGAGCAGGGCATACTTAATGCCAGTGAAAGGGCTGTAGACACTCATGTTTGTTCTCTTAAAACACAGACTTCCACCTCAGGTGAGCCTTTTCTTTTGTGCACAGCCTAGCACAGCACAGATGAACACCAACTGAATTGCTTTGGTGGCACAGACCTTTTACCGGCTGAACACACATTATTTCTCTTATAAATTACAGGTACCCTGAAAAGTAGCAAATGCTCATTATATTATTGAAAAACTACAGAAAAGAATTGAGAAACAATGCCCTTCATACTGTAAATCTCAAACAAGTGATTTACTTTTCACTTTCCTCCGTGTTTTTTTCTTTTACGACTGGTCACGTGACAGATACCCCCTAGTTTATCTCTTGCCTTTGCCCGTTGTATATGGGTATTTCTCATTTACACATTTTTTAAAAATAAAATGCTACCCATAGATGCATGTATCCTGATTTACTCAAATGTTTACTGGACATTTGGTTGGTTTCCAGGTTTTCATTTTTATGAAAACAGAATGAACATCTTAGCAGACATTTCTGATCTTTATTTATTTATTTTTGGGGGCTGGCCTCTGAAATATATTTAATGATATAAAGTATATGAGTCCTTTGTTGTATTGTTTTTGTTTTAATTTTGCTTGAGGGCCTGTGTGTCTACCGGACAGAGACAGAGAAATGTGTGGGGGAGTGAGACAGCACACCCCAGGGGCATAGTCAGGCCACAATCTCCTCTTCTCCATTCTCCTCTTGGGACTTTGGGCACAGCCACACAAGTGCCCGGTGTGTTTCTCGGCCACTGGGTCCAAGACTCATACCTTGTAGCTGGCCATGTGGGATTCAGCTGTTCCAGCCACCGTGCCACCAGCTGGCCCATCTTAGAGATGTAGAGGCACTGTAGACCCGCTGACACTCCCACAGACAGGATGTGAGTGTGCCGTTTTGATGGTCCCCTCAGGAGCACTGAGTGCTGTTATTTCTCTTTGACCTCTGACAGGAAGGAACCGCTTCTGGTAATTTTACTTTATATTTTTATTACTTACATGATTTTTGAGGAATGCTAGCTGACACATTTAAGGTTTTTAAATTTTTTTGAGAGAGAGAGTTTTGCTATAGGGCATGTGTGCTCACGGGAGAGAAAGAGACAGAAAGCAAGACATCAGCTCCCAGAGGCACTGGCCATACCGCAGTCCCCTCCTCTCAACTCTCTCTTCAGGATTTGGGGCACACACGCACAAGCACCAGGCCAGAGTTTTAAGCCACTGGGTCTGGGACTTGAACTTCACTACATGCAAGTCCAGCGATGTAACCATTACTCCATCTGCTGATCCCACATTTAAGTACTTGTAAGGTTTGCTCTTTACTGTTTTATTCTGCTCACAGCATTTCGTCATATGTGCATTCCGAGTGTTGCATAGTGAGTCATTTGTACAGTCACTGGGGTCCACTGAGCGTCTGCCGTGTGTGGGCGATTGCCCCAGGGAGCTCACGGCCCAGTGAGGCCTGTGCTGCGCTTTCTCCCAGTGTTAGCCACACGGAGGGCTTCCGTGCTTAGACATCTTAGAGGTCTCCTAAATTGCCTCTTTATTTTTACAAATTAACGTTAAGGACCTCCTTCATTATAAGAGGACCAAAGTAGGAATGGTTTCTGTGCTCATTGATGGCCTAGATTCTTTACAGAATATTGCTACATAGATATAAAAGTATCTACTTTGTATAAATTATACGTGAGCATTTTTAGCAAGGTATGTGGGATTAGACATAGTGTGACGTAGTTTCATTCGCCTTGACACCGCCATACGTAGAGTGCTAAACGGTAGAATCCTTATCAGCGTATTTTATATAAAAACTCATTGGAATTATTTCAACTATATTGACAGGGAGGAAAGACTTTAGAACAAACAAAAATAGTCCTGTGCTTTTTGAGAGATCTCAAGTTCACTCCCAAATGACATTTCTCTCAGCAGCTGGTGCACCCCTAAGTGTTCTCGCCAGCGCAGAGCTTGTGAGCCACGCTCTGCGATTCCAGGATCCCAGGACTCGAAGGCTTCAGGTGCTTTTGTCTCAACTTGTTTTGAAATGCGGCTAGCAAGGTTATCCCTATTAACCATGGCTAGTAAGCAGTACTCCAGTCTGTTTCTAAATCAACTCTTAAATACCCTGCTATTTTAAAGATGTTTTATCATTTGCCAGGTGGAGGAGTCTTTGCCCACCATTTTTCAAGTGTTCGTGACAGCCAGCATTCGTCTAACCTGAAAAGTAATTAGTGTTTCTGTTGTATCTAGAATGGAGAAGATGAGAAGTGTGTTTATTTTATAGTAAAACGTTTCACTAGACTGAGATGATCCATTCTCTGTAAGGCCTGCCAGACTCTGGGGTGCAGAGCAGTAAAGTGTAGTTTGAATACTTAACAAATAAATATGAATTATTATATTATTTTAATACTGCAAGCAAGGCTTTTAAGTTTCCTTTGATTGTTGTAATATGAGAAAATAGAGTAGCAATATGGGTTAAAAATGCCCAGGACACTGCCTTATAGAGTGCTAGGGAGTAGATTTGTTGTGAGGGTTGCATTTGATGGAAAGTAAGCGTTCAGAACTGTGCCAGCATGGAGGAACACACTCACGTTAATACATCCTAAAGGGTGTGTGAGCTCTTTGTTGATCAGTCATGTTTTGCATATA